TAAAATCTGCCTATTCAAGTGAATGTTCTCTCTATATGAGACGAACAAAATGTTCACCAAAAAATAACACCATTTGATTATCGGAAGTTTTCAATCGAGCATTCGTTCATGTAGCCACCATGGAAAAAGCTCATAAGAGCTTTGAAATAAGTGGTATTGTTCCATATAGACCGAATATTTTCACGGATAAAAATTTTTTGCCTTCCACCCTTTCTAACATTCCCGCTGTCGAACTACAACTTCCTGAGGCTGATATTACTCCCTATACCTCCAAACCAAAAGGAGTACCTTCAAAAGATGCAGTCTTGGAAATAAATGAATCTGATGTTATTCCAAGTACATCAAAAGTCATCGAAGCTCAAGCAGTTGTCGCTCCTTCATCATCAAAATGGAAGCTTGTAAACGAGAGACAAGGAGATATATCTATTGAACAAATGACACCGTTGTGCGTAGTGAATGAAAATAAATTAAACAAGAAGGGTAGAAAATTAGGCATTTCAAAGATTTTGACGACAACTTCAGAAAAAATAGAACTGGAGCAGAAAGAGAATAGAAAATTACATAAGAAAGGGAAGCAAAAACTTCCTGTCAAGAACGTCAGCAAAAAGATAAAACGTGCCACGAGGAAAGTCAAGTTTGACGATAGTTCTTCAAGTGCTTCATCTCACGATGAAATGAAAATTTGCAACGATCATAGTTCCGATGATCCCAACAGCGACATAGAAGAAGAATGCATGTATTGTAGTGAATATGGAAAATCTGAAATGTGGTACAGATGCGGAGTTTGCCATAAATGGTCGCTCGTTTTTTTAATTAAGTAGTCCTTTGAATATGTTTTTTTTACATAATAAATATATAGATGTTGTTTGTGAGCAACTAATTATTTTGTGTTTGATTTTCATATAATGTAACCCTGGGCGATATTATTCCATCACTGGGCGCAATTACCCGCATGGTCAGATAATTCCGCCCGAGTGTAGGTTTGTGAATATAAATGTAATTCTCTGCAAAATAAAATAAATCAACACTTTCAGGCTTAAATAATTAGAAGTTGATAACATGACTATATTTTGACAGTTGAAATTATGTTTCAAGACCTATAGTTTTTGTTTAATTCAACAAATTGCATAAGTGTGCGGCAATACCCGCACTTTCCTTAATATAAAGAATGTATCTTTAATATTTTTTATCATACTCATCGGTATCTTAAAGAGCAAAAAAGTTAAGTGTAAATATATGCCAGATATGTCGCATATGTGGCGCCCTCTATCAGCTACATTAAAGTATGCATCAAATTGTAATTCCTGATGTTAAATAGTACCCAGTTATGAATTTTTATACATAAATGTTCACAAAAATGAAAGTTATAGCGAAAATTAAAATTTTAAATTTCCACTTTAACACCCTGTATCTTTCATTATATCAACATTGTATTAAAGCAATTTGGCTTAAATCGTAATATTTTAAAGTGTAGCATCTACGATTTCTTTTTGTACAATTACTTGAGGACTACCCTATATATATATATATATATATATATATATATATATATATATATATATATATATATATATATATATATATATATATATAATATATATATATATATATATCGAGAAAAGGAGTACGGCCGTCAATATCCAATATAAATTAAGGATCACTCGAAGAGTGACGGGTTTTTTCGGTCAAAAGGTGGAGAAAAAAAGGCAAAGATGATGGCTACTTCATCTATTTATTGAAAACGTTTCCCTTTCTTATCAGAAAGCATCATCAGTTCATCTAAAAAGAACAATATGAAAAACCTAGCATTCAAAGAAAAGTTATTAAGTGTGTTACCTCAAAAAGATCTTTTTCATTTACATTTACTTTAACTCAAATCAAATTTTTAGTTCAACAAAAACCTAATTAAATTTTCCATTTATGCTAAAGTTTCACAATTATTACTTCATCCTGTATAATTATTATTTATATCATTGGATAGCATTTTTTACAGTATTTTCAATTATGTATCACTTTTATCGTGAGATATACCCCATTGTAAGTTTTAAAATTGACAGACTGTATAGTACAGCATAATAAACTAAACAATTACTAAGTACATTTAAAATGTCATTAATAAAATAAGTAAATGTTATTTAAAATATGATATAATAAAAACTAATAAAAAAATTATCATAAAAACATGTCATAATTATCTATTGTTTGGTAAATATTACATTTTAATCATTATTTTTGTTTTTTCTTCTAAGCTGGGCTTTTTATCAAAAATAGTTTTTTTTTTGTAAAATGTAAGAAACTTTTTTTCATTTGTATACAATTTTCACTGTATATCACACCTCACCAAAAATCATATCCTTTTAGTCATTAAATTGTTGTGCTAATTATTTGAAACTCATTTTTTCAGATATTAAACTAAAAATACCCAATATTACTGTAATCATCCACATACTGGCAACATTGTAAAATTTTTAATATCTACCGAGTGATTATCAAGTCGTATAATGATTGTAATGTTCAGGTAAATTCATTCCTTTTCCGGTCGAATACTTTCTCTCTCTCTCTCTCTCTCTCTCTCTGCGCGCACTAGAAGCTCCGCCTGTTTCACGAGATTCCTCTTCACTAGTACATTATTTATATATATATATATATATATATATAATATATATATATATATATATATATATATATATATATATATATATATATAAATATATATAGTTGTAATGTTAAATCACATTTTAACGAATATTCACAAGTTCATAGAATGCTGTCTTCTAGCGTGGCTACCTTAGCCAAGAGGGTCCAAATTTAAGATACTGGAAATTGCCTATATCCATCCTATAATATCACTGGTAGAATTTGTTGCTAACATCAACGTATGTCGATCACTAAAATAAATAAAAAATTTTAAAAAATTCAAACGCATAATGAAAGAATACCTTATTATTGAACGCCGAAAGTCCCTGAAAACTTCTATAATGTTTATTTTACTAAGTTACAGGGGTGACAAAAAAAATAAGACAAATTTAGTGTGATATTTGATTTTAAATATATCATTCCAAAAAATATTTTTTGCTTATCCTAAGGACTTTCGGCCCTCGGAAATAATGTAATCTTCCATTCTGCGTTCAAATTTTTCAAAAATATTCATTAGTTTTCTCAGGATTCAAAAAAAATTAATGCATTTAAAAAGCATTGGCCCGAAATTTTGCGCCTACACTCCTAAAACTTGTTCTAACCGATCTTACTACAGCCATCTACCGTTCGTGTAACCTTACTCTCTTATTAATAAACACGGACTAACATTAGTCTCAGGACTACACCAATAACATTCATTTTTCGTATTAATAAACAGCGACTAAGGATAGACTAAGCTAAACCTTGGCTAGTCTCGGACTAACATTTAATCTAACAATTAATCCGAGGTAGTGGCAGGTTTAGTTTAGAGAGTCATGATACTATGAATAACAAGATAGGATCTTCCCGTAGCTCAAAATCGGTCGGGTTCGTGCATGCCGTCATTGGAGAGTAGAATTTGAAATCTTGTTAAAGTTAAATGGGATTTGTATGCATTCTGTGATGAAATTACTAGACGAAAATAAGTTAAGAGGTTTAATAATTACAATAATCGTACACATAAGGATATCTCCAAACTATTTATTAAAGATTATTTATTGATATATACAAAAAACTGACATTTCGAACGTGCAACTCTCCAATGACGTCACAAAAACATGCGCAATATCCTATCTTATAGTCATAGTATCATGTAGAGAGTGACTAACTTGACAATTTGACATTGAGTGGAGTTTTGTTTTCGTATTCATAACCTGAATTGTTTTTGATTATTCATACATTATTTAATAATGGAAGATTATTTTATCAACGACTTAAGATTAATATATATATATATATATATATATATATATATATATATATATATATAATATATATATATATATATAATATATATATATATATATATATTGTGGCTAAACACCCCGTACGGGGTTACGCCGCTTAAGCTCTCTAGATCTATTTTACGAGGTAGATCAGTCCCCATTTTCTTTATTTAATTTTTCTTGTTATTTTTCTCCACTGTTTCCTATCTCTGGTTTTTTCTCTCCATTGTCGTACGCCCGCCCTGTTGAGGGACGGCGTACGACAATACTTAAGATTAATAGAAAAACTTAATGACCATAGAAATCAGTGAAATAATATTCATCTAAGACATATTAAAATATATAAAATTTATTTAATAAAATATTTTACAATTCATTATGTTTATTAGTATTTTTTATATTTTCCCTTTGTAATAAAATATTTTTTAAAGTTTCCTCCTGAACTTTTATGAAGTTTAAACTTTTCAGATAAAAAAAATACTATAAAATATAAACAAACTTTCTCAGAACACAGTACACAGTCCAACTAAAATTAACTCTACCTGCCTCAACTTATGCTAACTGTCAAATTCTCAAATATTTTTCTTCTTTTTCACAAAATTCTCTACATTTTTCTTCTTTTTCGCAATGGTTGTCAACATAAACTTGTTGTAACTAGGACTAAGGAAGGTTTAGGTAGTCTGAGCTTAGTCCATGTTTATTAATAACATTCTGAAAATGAAGTTAGTACTCGCTTAATCTGAGACTAACTAATCCGAGACTAACTTCGGACTAAGCAATTTTTCTTAATAAGACTGTTAGTGCTTAGTGTAAGATTTAGTATTAGCAACTACTTACATAGCCCCACCGACGGCTTTACATGTTCTTCGAACGAAGCACGGTGGCAGTACAAGTAAATTAGAAATTGAAAAATTCCCTGTGTATGTATCGGGATCGAACCCGAGCTGTGGCCGCCATACATACTGATGGCTACTACCACCAAAGACTATAGGCACACGCAATAACGGAAATAAAATGTTAAATAGTAATAACTTTTAAATTCCGGAAGTGTTTATTGTTTAAATTCAAGAAAAAATATATAGTAGTTTATTATTGTAGGACACACAAGATCTTGGGGCGTAGCTCATCCCGAAATATTAACTGCTTGTGGAGGAGAACTTACAGGAAACTATGGGCCCATCGATCCGACTACGAATACGACTTATGAATTTCTTAACGATCTATTTACAGAAATTCATGAAACTTTTGCTGACAGATATATTCATATTGGTGGTGACGAAGTAGGATTTGAATGTTGGTACGTACCATTATTTATTAACAGTTTCAATATTTTTAAGCCAGTGTTATCAAGTAATAATGTTGTATTCAATTAATAAAATTAATAGGTTTCACGTATATAAATATATACAGGGTGTGCCAAACCTCTGGTTTTCTTTTGCTACGGCAAAACTTACAAGTTCTACAGAGTATCTACAAAAAATGTTTCAAACACAAATTATGTATATTTATTAGGTCTAAAATATAAAATCATTTTTCATTGCACTGGGTCAGTCGTAATGATGGACTGAACCAAAGTTGTGTGTTTTTTAAATTGAACACCTTGTATATTAACGAATTTTTGATTTTTTTTTAAATATGAATTATTTGTGTAAGGATTTATAATTGATACTTTTCGAAATATATACACTTTTATTAAGAAAAATGGTAATATTTAAAGGGCTGTGGGTTAGGTTTCCAAGGTAATAAAAATATTAATGACATGTCAAAGTTTTTCTAGTGTGATAGCATTTTTATATAATTTAATATATTTTACATCAAGCTATATAATATACAGTGTGATCACTATTTTCAAATACAAAATTTTCAAATTTTTTAAATGGAACACCCTGTATATTAGTATTTAATTTTGTAAACAATATATTTCTTCTAATATCTGGTTGTATATAAATATCGTGTTTTGTTTTGTAGCTATTTAGAGAAGAACTATAGATTTTATGTTTTTGCAGATTTTTATTAATAAATTCTTTATAGCTACTAATACATAACAAACAAAAATTACAAAAATTATAATCTAATTTTATAAACATAAATCAAAATATCAAAGATTAAATAAATCTTATGCTATGACATTATAGTAAAAATAGTAACTTATAGTAATAATTACTTGAATTTCTAGCTCATCATGATACAAAATAATAGTTAGCTTGCCAAGAATCTATATTCATAAATGCATTATTAACTTTGTTATTAAATATTCAAAATGTTTCCTATTATGTTACCAGTTATATCTGATTAACAAGGGACTGTCCAATGTTGTTCATTTTAGATCTAATGATGCTAAAGCCATTGTGTATACGAATTTTCATATAATCCTGTCTTGTGGGTTTATCGTTGTATACTATATGCTTGATGTACCTACCCTAAAAATGGTCCAGTAGAGTAAGTAGTGGATATGTTGTTAGGGGGCATTCTACATTACCATATCCGATCTGAACTGTGGCTGTAGTTATTATTTAGCACATGCTCAACATTTATTGTACGATGGGTCTTGCCCATCGTACAATAAATGTTCGCCCAAAAAAATTCTATGCAAAAATAAAAATTATACTTTGATTTTAAAAACAGTGCCTACGCTTATTTAGGGCACCCACACAATCTCATACTAGCTTAGTAGTAATCTCTACAAAACTGAGTGTCAACAACTGAACAGTGAGTACTTTTCTGCCTTTCTATTACTTCTATGTAGTAACGGAATGCTTGAAAAATTATAACATGCTTTGATAGACTTACCTGAAAATGTATCTTTTACTTTGTCTCTAATATATCGGCTCCTACACCCTCCGATGTTGTTGAGCGAGCCTTTAATGTACCAGGTAGCTTTACTTGTATGGGTAGGTACATCTTCCTTGCAGTCTTCGCTGCCTAGTATATCATTTTGAATTTATTGTCAAGGCTATATCTCTTATCTGTTGCATCAATGGGTTGCCCCATAACGATATCTCCTTTGAACTCCTCGATTAGCTTTCTATTGTCAGCACTATGCGCCTGGCTCATGTGTGGTTGACTATATATTAACCTGTGCAATCCCTGGATCACAGATCTATCTTAGCTTTGTATCATAAGTTATCATTGGTCTAATAACCTCTGTGTATAACCATATGATTATTTTGTGGTTAACCCCAATTATTAAAAGATATTCTTTTACATCTACTTAATGAAAAAGTAGCTTTATATGTGGTTTTTGTTCTGTGAGTATTCCATGTAATCTTCCGATCAAAATATACCGCTAGGTACTTTGTTTCTTTAGAAAATTTAATTGCTATTCCTCCCAGCAAACCTCCCAGGTGTTTAGGCCTTGTAATGCTTTCTTTTTTGTGAAGTTGGCGATTTGTGTTTTTCGAGCATTGACTATCAATCTCCCTTGTTGGCACCGGGTATCAACTCATATTTAGGATTGCTAAATACAACCTAAGTGAATTTGCCCCTGGTGACGATTTCAGTATCGACAGCGTATTTTACACAGTAAAAGTCTTTTGTGGACAGATTTTTGAGAACATCCCCTGTCAATGTTACCCAAAGTAGAGGTAACAGAACTCCTCCTTGTGGACAGCCTCCACCTGTTCTTGTTTTAATATTTGCATTAGCTAGAGTCGGTATTACTATCCTATTCTCCAGGGAAACCCTTATCTGCATATTACCGTGGATGTGCCTCATTCTTTAACCAAAGAGTTGGTGGTACCATTATTAGATGCCCCTGTAATATCTAAAAAAAGCGGCCATTGTTGTATATTTGTCCTCTATTAACTTTTGGATAAACCTATTTAAATCATTCAAAACTAAGTCCGTAAAATTTCCAGGTTGGTATGCATATTGACGATTGCTGGAATTTTATTTTAGCACTTCGTCTCTTATGTACCTATCAGAAAGCCTTACCAGTGTTTTTAATAAAAAAGACGCTATTGGTATATATGACTTTGGGTTAGGTCTGAGACTTTACTTACCTTAGGCAAGTATATGACTTTATCGTTTTGACATATATCCGGTTTGACCCACCAAGCTGAACCACCTCTTATCTCGTGCGAACCAACTCATGCAAAAGTATCTGATATGTGCCATATGTTTCAGAAAACTAAAATTGATTTAAAGCTCATCTAATTATCTTGGTTTTGTGATTTCTGTGGCTATTTCCCAACCTGGAACTTGGCCTAGTCGGCGTCTGGTCTATGTTATTTTACATTATTCCGAATAGTTGTGCTATAATCATAGCACCATCTAATAAATTAACAATTGCAGCGAAAAGATAAAATAATATCTAACCTCCACAGTGTATATTAAGTTTTCAAACTTGATTACAACTTTTTCAAAGGACATTAAAAATAAAACATTTTGTCTTTTCCTTGAACTAAAAAAAATTAGTTTCCATATTAAACAAGCAAACCTCAACGAGTATATAAAAAAGCTAGAAATAATATTGACGGAATTTCGAAATAGATTTCAAGACTTAAAATTATTTCAAGCGTCTCTTAATTTTTTTTAATCTATTTGAAATTAACATAACTCAAGGCGAATTTACCATTACCAATATAATTATAACACAAAAAACATTAGGAGAATAAAGCACAGTCGTGTAAAATACTATCTCAAGGTTCTCATATGTATTTAGTTTCGTATTTTGATACGCCCAAAATAGGAATTCGGAATCCTATTATTCTATATACAATAAATTTATATTTAGGACTAAAACGGTAAAACAAGGGAACCACCAAATTGCTTTGTTAGTCGATATTATCTGCTGAAAAATAAATTCATCAGTTTTTTTAAGACATTTCGAACTGATCTTGAAGTAATTTCTACTGCCTCCACTAATGTGATTAATGGAAAATTATTCATTAATTTTAACATTAACATAAATTGGAATATACTGTTCTGTTCTCGGATACACCTCTTAAGGGCCTATTATCTAAATAACTTTAAGAGTTAGAACCCATCACCACCAATTCTTTTTTATGGTGACCAATGTTCTTATGACTGTGAATGGTACTAATTCGACCGCAAAAGAAACAGAATAATATGTTTTGTTGATAATAAACTCTTTTTCGTATAAAGATAATAGCATATTTACTCAAGAATATTAGTAACTGAGTAGGAGAATAGACAAATCTCCTCCTAGACATACAGTTGCACTTTTGCCAGTGTAAAATACTATCTTTTTCAATTTGATAGCCATTAATAGTATTATTTCTCGTGAGAATAAATCGGTTTTCTAGCATTACAAAGAATACGAACGTACATATAATTTTATATTTTTAGGGGAAATACTTCCAAAATTGTTGACTACATGAAAGAAAAAGGTATAACAAGTTTTGAAGATTTGGAAAGTTTTTACATTAAAAAAGTCATTGATATGATAGACAGTTTACAATATCAATCTATTGTATGGGAAGAAGTATTTACAAATGGCGTTGAACTCCCTAAAAACACAGTTATTCAAGTATGGAAAGATTTCTGGAACATAACATTGCTTAATGTAAGTATAACAATTACTCATAGTTATATGAAATAAACACTTATAATAAATATACAATTGGGTATCAAAGAACACTACAGCACAATCTGTACGAACCAACTTATTTTAAACGAGTTGGTTTTTACTTAAAAAAATATTTAGGCCAAGGAAGAGAAGGAAGATATATGAGGTTTTATACTTATCTATAGTAGAGGAGAGAAAGACAAGACAGCAGAAGCAGGGGTATCGATATTCCTAAAAAAGACCCAAAAGAAAATCTGAAAATCAAGAAGCAAATCAATGAAAGAATTATTAGGATCAAAAGTTATCAATTATTAAATCTATCAAAGAACTATTACTTAACTATTAAGTAGAAAGAGTACGATCTTGATATCATTGGAATATATACGAATTCATTCCAATATATGGAATATATTGGAGTGAAAAAAATATTAGCTACCTAATAGAAATTTCCCCTGACCTCTGATAGGTAAGGCTATGATAATTTGAAAGTAGTCACGTAGTTAGTATCAAATTGCATGCCAGCTTAGCTGATCACGTGTTGGTTAGAATTAGCAACTCTTACATATTAGTCAGTGTCACATTGTATCCCAGCTTAGCTGGTCCCGTCTTGGTTAGAGTTTTTAAATCTCACATATTAGTCAGTGTTGGGTTAGTATTCGATTAAATATGACGAATTTCCGGTTTAAGTTTCGAGTTTTAGACTCTCGCGTATTGAGTATACCTAGATATTGTTATACAGCTTATAGTTTTAACGGTTATATGTTTCACAAACGCTCATTATTAATCACATATATTAATACTGAAGAAAACATCCTTGGTTCATGTGACAATTTTATTAGTAACCTATTTAAACTGTAATAGTGCTCTCGTGTGTTTCGCGGTCTCGTGTAAATTGGACAGTGATCGGCTGTTTAGATATAAAAACTTTGCGGTAAAACTTTGGCTAGATCTTAATTTAGTTGTAGTAACAAAGGTAATCATTAAATTATGAATTGGTTAATGCTTTTGTTTTTATTTCCCACTTTAGTGAGTGGTCCTTCGACTTGGAATTAATTACATTTTTACATTACATTACAAAAACAAATCTTTCGTTTATTTCCAACATTTTTGTTGGGGACTTCGAAATGGATGAGGAACCATTTAAACTAATTTATTTGCAAGTAAAATCTCGCTTTTATTAGAAAACTTTCGCTAAAAATAAAATTTAAGTCCATCCTAGTCAAAGTTACTTATCGCCGCGCCAAATATTTAATTTCAGAAATTTTATAATACAAAAACTTAAATCGCGTCATGAGTGATATATGTGAGTCATCAAGTTACGCCACTGAAGAATTGTTCCTGACCAATAATTACCTGTTTCTAGCTAATCACTATTGGGTCGGCCAGAGGAGCGTTTAGCAATTGTTGCTTTGGAAATTTCAAAGAGGTTCTCAAGTTTACAACATTTATTGGTATTGTTCAATTTATTTTTTTAAATATTTCATAGAAAATTTTACACTCAAACATTCAATCATTTTATAGTCATCAATTATACTATTCTGCAAAAAAATTTATAATGGCTTCTCCGAATTTATCCAAGCATATTGGAGGTTTTAAATCTCAATTGTCCCTAATATATCGGCTCCTACACTCTCCGATGTTTTTGAGCCTTTAGTGTACCAGGTAGCTTTACTTGTATGGGTACATCTTCCTTACCGTCTTCGCAGCCTAATATATTATTTTGAATTTATTGTCAAGGCTATATCTCGTATCGATTGGATCAATGGGTTGCCCCAAAACGATATCTGCTTTGAACTACTCGATTAGCTTTCTATTGTCAGCACTATGTGTCTGGCTTATGTGTTGTTGCCTATGTATTAACCTGTGCAATCTGTGCATCACAAATCTATCTTAGCTTTGTATCATAAGTTATCATTGGTCTAATAACCATTGTGTATAACCATAGGATTATTTTGTGGTTAAGTCCCCAATTTTTACAAGATATATAATATATATATATATATATATATATATATATATATATATATATATATAATATATATATATATATATATTATATATATATATATATATGTATAATATATATAAATATGTAAATATATATACTGCGGAAGCAATAGTTTCCCAGAGAACTAAAGGAAGCAAATCTGATGTTTCTCCTAAAGCCTAGCAAACCCCTGATTCAGCATCCTCTTATAGATCAATATGCCTTCTGGACTGCCTTAGCAAGTTTCACGAGAATCTAGTCAAGAAGAAGCTGGAAGACATGTTGGCAGATAAGATAGCTCTATCCAACCAACAATATGGATTCAAAAAAGGTCGATCGGCAGTCGACGCCTTGATCTGGTTAGGAGACGCAGTAAAAACAAGCCAAAACAAATTCAATTCAGCGAAGTGAGGTCACATCATAGACAGTTGTTGAAACGCAGACGACCTAGCCCTACTTATACAAGATATTAATTGGGGAATTATAAACAAAGTTAATAAAACAATAGAAAAAATGAGACATTGATAGAGAGAAACGACCTAACACTTGCAGTAGAAAAAGCAGAAGTAATTATCTTGAAAGGACCACGGGATTAAAAAAACGTAAATTTTCGGTTCAGATGCTCCGACGTTAAGAGGTTATTTGGTAGGTGGTCAGCTAAGCTGAGGCGTAGTCGCCTCAATCTAACAAACCTGGGACATCTTTCACCTTCCTAGAGGTCTTTTAAAGATTATCACCTCCCAAAAAAAGGTATAGATAATGTGTCATATTCGCTGCTGTACAACTTACCGATAGAATATAAAATTTCACTAGTTAACATTAAGATACCAGTATCAAAAAGTTGGAAAGAATACCTGGTGATTCCGAATAAAAAACCTGGCAGAACAGAACGTGATGCAAGTTCTTACCGACCTATCTTCTTGTCTTCATGTCTTTTAAAAACATTCAAAAAAAATTAAAAATGGATTTGAAGAATCGTTAGAACATGATGGGTATACTTCCAAGTTCCCAATATGGTTTTCACAAGTCTAAGTCCACTTAAGATATAACTGCTGATCTAGCTATGTCAATGCAGCTTAACTTTACATCAAATAAATCTACAGCAGCTGCGTTTCTTCACATTTCTGCTGCTTTTGATAATGTGAATTATTTAGACATTCTTTACAAAAAAATGTTTTATAATGGAATCCCTAGATAATTTGCTCTCCTTTTAAAATCTCTATATTTCAACCAACTAATTTTGATTAACTTTTTTTTAAATTAATAATGAGAAAAATTTTATACCCTAGATTAACTAATATTGTATTGCCACAGGGGAGTATTTTAAGCTCCATTTTATATATCCTGTAAAACATAGATCTTAAAGTTATTATACCCAACCATACAAAAATTCTTCAATATGCTGAAGTTTTATATACAGCAGGAAAATTGTTAAGTATCTGAGGTTAATTTAAAAGACTTATTAGAAATCGTAAATCAGTGCTATAAAGAAATAGGATTATCAGTTTCTGACACAATATCCCAGGTGTATTACTTTTTACAAAAACATAGAGTTCCACAAGGCACTCTTAATATGTAAAAATTTAATTTCCCTATTAAAAACCCGTGTTAAGTATTTTGGTACCTATTTTGTCAGAAAATTGTTATGGAAAGATTACATTCATCAAATCTATAGAAAATCAGAAAGCTCAATAAATATTTTAAGAGCTTTCTGTAAAACAACTTGGGGAGTAGCCCCCACTTTGACCCCCCAACATGATCAGGCCGATTTTTGACTATAACTGTCATTTATTTGGATCAATGGCCAATACACATCTAAACAAACTTGATATTCAAAAAAATAAATGCCTGAGATTATGCCTAGTTTATTTAAAATCCACTCCAGTCAAAATAATGGAAAATGAAGCAGTTGAACCTCCATTGCATTTTATTACGTTCAAAAGTTGTAAATACCTTCAAGATTTTTATAAGCTCTCATTTTAGACCTTACTTAGGTACAGAAGAACTAAAAATGTATACCTTTGGTAGAAAGCCATTTTAGTACTGTAAAGTAGAATGAAGTTTTCTGACAAAGCCAAATTCCGCCCTACTAAGGTGAAATGATAAAAACAGCATTTTCCAGAAAGGTGAAAACATGATTATTTAACAAAAATGGACAAATTAACAGTACATACAAATGGAACGGGCTGTGCGGTGTTTCACGAAAATAAAAATTACGTATAGTTTACCCAGTGAATGCTTAATGGACACAGCAGAAATGATGGCAATAATGTTTGCTCTTTAGTATGTACTACTAAAGTAGTACTGAAGTAGTTCCAACTAGCAATGTTATATTTACTGATAGTGAAAACGTGGTCGACAGATTTAAGAACATTCAAAGAGTCAAATACATAAACCACATTGAACTGGAAATTCTTAAAATTCTTTTTGAAACTGTTCAATTAGATTTAAATGTAATATTTACATGGATCAAAGGCCAATTTAGCTAAATTAGCATATATGGTCGGGGAAAAACTAAATCAATTTTTATTTTCAGTGACAGATATTACTGTTAGTAAACAAGAACTTAAACATAATTAGCATTTACATTACAGAAAATGTAAGACTGGCTTAAACTTTTATCATTGTAACCCTGGGATACCCTCAAGAAGAGGGTTTTACCTACATAGAATCTAATCGACATTTTTTTATAAAGCGCATTAATCGGTTGAGAGCGAATCATGCTCTTACGCTATTTTACATGCATGGAATCAACTTATCAAATACTCCCAAGTGTACTTGTAGCAAAAAAATGGGAGATCTTACAGATATTATATTGGAATTTGATTTACAAATTAATAATATAAACAATTTTTATAAGAAATTAATTAAGTCTAAGTGTTGTTTTCTAATAAACCTTAATATTTTAATATTTTAAAATACTGTGGAAATTTTTCATTGCATTTGCATATATATGTTAAAATATATAAATATAAATTGTAAATAGTTGAAAAAAAATGTATATCTACCA